CTGAAGGCTTAGAAAAAAGTGCGAGCGAGGTGAATTTGGAATTCCACCAGCTTACGCTCTGTCGGCCGTGGATTCCAAACCAAAATGAAATAAGAGGGTTGCATATCTTAACTTCTTTTCATTACCACAAGTTGTGCGACGGCTGCAAGTAACCAGTGGATTTTGTTATGGCGTCCACCGGGCAGCAAAGGACTGTGGTTGTCGGAGCAGGACCAGTAGGATCGCTGGCTGCTCTTTACGCTGCAAGGAGAGGCGATGATGTGGAGATTTATGAGCTGAGAGGAGGTCGGTACATTTAAATATCGGTTTTGGCTTCGTTTATATGCGTTTGGTTGTCTGGGATATCTTTGAAGAGCAAATTTGGACTTCTTTGCTGCGTCATTTCCACAACTCAAACTTCTCCCACAAAAGATGACAAAAGCTAACACATTGAAGACCTTCGTGATCCGAGTACAACGCCACTAAATTTCACCAAATCTATTAATCTCGCTTTGTCAGAGAGGGGTATCAATTCCATGAGGAAGGCGAATTGTCCAGGACTTTTGGATGCCGTACTCGACGAAACTATTCCGATGCATGGTCGGATGATTCATGGCGAGAGACAAGGAAAGCTGTTTCAAGATGTTCAGCTCTATGACGTCCACGGTCGGGTAAGTTTAGTCCTATTATCGTATCATCCCTCCTGACTCTACCAGTTTCAACGTGCGGTCGACAGGGGAGGTCTGAACAAGACTCTCTTAGACCAGCTAGAGAAGATGCCGAATGTTAAATTCTTCTTCAATCATAAGCTTACCGGCGCCGACTTCAAGAAAAACATAGCTTGGTTTGAGAAACGTGACCCTTCTAAGGCGGACAAGCGTGGAGCAGAAGTCGAGATAAATTTTGATTTTATGATTGGTGCCGATGGGGCGCATTCCTCCGTGCGATATCATCTGATGAAGTACGCCCGGATGTCTTACCAGCAAGAATACATCGACACTCTCTGGTGCGAGTTCCACATCGCTCCGAGCGAAGATGGCAATTTCAAGATACCACCAAATTATCTTCATATCTGGCCTGGTGGAGAATTCATGTTCATTGCGATTCCAAGCCTGGACCGAACTTTCACATCTACCCTTTTCCTACCCAACACTCGATTTGCCGAGCTCGACGCCAATCCCTCATCGATTGTCGAGTTCTTCAAGTCGAACTTCCCAGGGGTCACTCCTGACCTCATATCCGAAGAGGATCTTCTGCAGCAATATTTGGAGAACCCTCACCTACCTTTAATATCCATTAAATGTGCTCCATACCACTACGGATCAAGCGTAGTGATCCTCGGGGATGCGGCGCACGCAATGGTACCATTCTACGGACAAGGAATGAATGCTGGTCTAGAAGACGTCCGAGTCCTATTCGATTTCATCGAGAAGTATTCTTCCACTTCGCAAGACTCTGATATCATCAGGGCCGGTCGAGCAAGAGCTTTGGAGGAGTACACCAAACAGCGCACTCCCGATGCCGCTGCGGTCAACGACCTTGCTTTCAGAAACTATCAGGAGATGAGAAGTGATGTGCGATCTCCTGTTTACCGCCTCCGGAAATGGACCGAGGAGAAGTTGGACGCGTACTTCCCGAGTCTGGGTTGGGCGACCCAATACTCGCGGGTAAGCTTCGAGAACATGAGGTATTCAGAAGTGCAAAAAACTGCACGAAGACAAGGCAGGATACTCCTGGGCGTCATTGGCTTGTCTCTAGTATCTGGAGTAAGCTGTGCAGGGTGGTGGCTTGCAAGGTTTCATTCAGGGCCTCGTGGAGCGCGTTTCTTGACTCGGTGGTTCAATTTCCTGGTTGAAAAGTCACAAGAATTCAGGAGATTAGCCTAATGACGGTTATATTAAGCATCTAAGGCGCATTCCAACCCACCGAGCAGTTTGAGAAGGGATGATACCTAGAGCGAAGTTCAAGGCTGCCTGGAAGTTATATGCGAGGACAAAGGATATATAAGTATATTTAGAGGCTATCGTCTCTATGTAACATAGTTACTTTAACCAAACGCAGCGGGTCTTCAATAGCAATAGCCCTAGCGAGCGAGAGTAACGCAGATAACTGTGGAAGGAAGCTATGCGCCATTGAACATAACCAGGACGATAAAATTGACCATAAGACAACCTCGGATATCGTAAAAAGGAGAAATCCTTCCCTATACTCTTCAGGGAGCTGCGCGCTTCTAATTAGGTATACAAGTCGGCCTGGATGAGAATCACAACCACCATCACATTTGCCCATATGTTACGCCGCATAAACCCATACCATCCAATTCAATGTCCAAAGTCACACTAACCCACCCCCGAATAAAGTTGGCATGTTCACAAGAGCCAAACCCAAGATATGATGATCAGCTTCGTCTGCCAATAGTTGTGCAGTGCAAGCAATTCCTAGTGTCAGTTACAACGGCACAAGTACCGCATATGTTTCTGCCGCAGGATTGACACGCAAATTGATTCGTGCAGTTGGAGTCATCCAAGTCCATGTCCATCTCGTTCTCACTTTGAAGGGCATTATCGCAATCCTCGCAACGCGGTAACTGACTGTTTTGAATCGGAAGAGATTTCATTCGATTAAAGGTGTGATGTTTGGTAACCGGAAGAGCCCAGAAGGAGTGGAGTGTAGATTTCTGGGTGGAAGAAGCGCAGCGGGCGGAAGGCTGAGGCTGAGAGGGTATTGGAGCAGCGTGTGGAAACTGTCGTTGGGCGGAGAACAGTTTTTCAATGGTTGTTTCTATACACGACATTGTCAATGAAACGTGTCAGGCCGTTGGTCTAAGGCAATTTACCGTGTAGAATGCTCTCATCTGGTCTATTGTCTCGAAATCGTTTACGCGTACGGCTATTCAAATCTGAAGAGGAGAGCCTTCTAATGTCCCTATTGCATAATGATATAGGATGACTTGGAACAGGTATCTCTACATCCATTGCGCCGCCGAAGAGATGCGAAGCTGGTGTCGGACTCTGCGAACCACACGAGGTTGAAGTCGCAAAGCTGGAGATTGAAAGAGGCGATGAATTGGAGCATGATCTTTTCCGTTTTAAGCCCATGATGTAAGGTATATCGTCGGAGTACTGGATACAGATAGTGGATACAAAAGATGCGCGGATTGAGTAACAATGTTGTACTTGGGGCTGCTGAAGATGCGAATGGAGGCCTTGGTAGCTGCGAATCTCGTGATGATGAAATTGGGAGGTTGGAACGCGACGCGACAAAGGTCTCACGTGCATTATGGTTCTTCTCATCAACACCAACACCAACACTCCACAAGCTTGTTAAATCTATGCTGTAAACTGTAAACGTATTTATCATACGATTTGATGCAGTATTGACATCGAACTGGAGGACATTAAATATACTGCATCATCTTCCTGCTTCTCAATCCCTTTTGGGCTCAAATCTTGCTCGATACTGCCCAACTCATTGACCTCCTGGTGCTACAAAGTTCACACCTTACAGACTTCAAACCGTTGAGGAGATTACTAAAAGACGCGTTATTTTCTTTACAGATTCCTCCCGAAGCTTGCGTCCCCTGTCGTAGCTTTTGGAGCCCCGCCATCCTACCCCGCCAAAGCCGCCCAAGCATCTCACCTTTCAGATTACTCTGTTAACATCACAGTCAACATGACAAGCCGGGACGCCACTCATGCTGGATCATGGTACTCTGCACGGAAATCAGAACTGTCAGCTCAACTCGATCAATGGCTCGACGCAGTTCCAGCGAGAGCAACTTGCATTGGCACTGAGTCTTCCAAACAAGCCACTGCTCAACTACCCTCCTCTGGAGCAAGAGCTATCATTGCACCGTAGGCTTCACTGTTCATTGCCGTTGAGCTGAATAGCAAAGCTCATGGCAAATCAGGCATGCCGGATACTCTTATTCTGGACCTGCAGCCGCTTGGGCATACAAAGCTTTGGACTTCTCTAACGCGTGAGTGGGGCTGCACCCGTCTTTAGGAGTGACATGTTGATATATGCAGGAAACGCATCTTCCTGCTTGGGCCTTCTCACCACCATTACCTCTCTGGTTGTGCCCTTTCGCAATGCGATAAGTATGAGACTCCTCTTGGAGATCTCATCATAGACAAGGCAACAGTAGCAGAGCTGCACCAGAAAGGCTCGTTTGATAAGATGTCCTTGTCTGTTGACGAAGCCGAGCACAGTCTTGAGATGCATCTACCATACATCTATAAAATGCTGTCTAGGTGAGCATGCCACCCGCATTAATTCAACTTACCTGCTTCTTACAGCACATAGATCTTTCTCCAACCCTACTTCCTTTCCGCCACTCATCCCCATCATGGTCGGTTCAACCAATGCAAACAATGAGCGTGCCTTTGGTCAGATCCTCGCGCCTTACCTAGCGGACCCAACATCTGTCTTCGTCGTCAGCTCCGATTTCTGCCACTGGGGCTCCCGGTTCAGATACACATACTACCAGCCTCGGTCAGGCTCGGCGTATTCTCTCCGAACCAGCGACCGGGCCCCCACCGGTCCTCCTATCCACGAGAGCATTGGATACATAGATGGACTATGCATGGATGCCATAGAGACAGGCTCGCACAGGAGCTTCCTGGATGTCTTGGAGGAAACTGGAAACACCGTATGCGGACGACATCCGATTGGCGTGGTTATGGCTGCTATAGAGGTTCTAAAGAAAGAAGATAAGATCGAGGAAGGCAAGGGCAAATTCAAATTTGTGCGATATGAGCGAAGTAGTGATTGCCAGACCTTGAGGGATAGCAGTGTCAGCTACTGCAGCGCCTTTGCGATATTCTAGCGCACAGCAGCGGGGCTTTCTTGGATGCCCACATCAACTAGTTAGAACAGCATAATGCCATATATATATACAGTCCACACCGCTCCTCTCTTGAGTTACCTGCTGATAGATTTTATTGGTTAAAGACCATTTTTTGTTTTATGTTTATAGGTTTTTCAATTTTCGAAGTCAGTCTATGATTTGCATCCAACCAGCGAGAGTAGTCTAGTGGTTATGATGTCTGCTTTACATTCACAACAATGTTTTAAGCGCAGAAGGTCGGGAGTTCGATCCTCCCCTCTCGTATTTTTGCTTTTGCCCTTTCACCTCCAGAATTATTTTTACGTTCAAGGAAATTTTTTTTTGTTGACCTACAAATCCTGCGCGGAAGGGTGCGGGGGGGAGGGGCACAAAGTAACCTCTTGCCACGAATCGTGACCATCGAAAGACATCATGGGCTCCGCAAACATCCACTGCGAGATATGGCGTTTTATCCCGCCAGCCTTTGAACTGTAGGTATTTTGCATGTAACGTGGCACAATCATCCAGCTTAGTTTGCGTCCATTACGCAGTCGTACACGACGTATTTCGGCACAATGAAGAATCACCTTATTCAAGAACTCTATGTTCCTCGGCCTCGTCACAGTTGAAAGTCATTTTAGAGATCAAGTTCGATTCCATTCTTAGCTTTTTGACATCAAGCGTCCCAGCTACACCGTTGAAAAGTGGCCTGCACTACGTCAACTCCAATGCCAGCGCTCTCTTTTTATGAACTATATATGCTCGCTGGTGCCGTTACGGCGTGGTCCACACCGAAACAAGCCTACCATTTCCTAGAATCTAGAGCCATGAAGAGAAACCACAGTCTGACAGTCCATGACCGGATTCAAAATAGATGCATGCTACTCCCTCTACTCAGCGGATTAGCCAGTCTTCGAAGCTATCCTCCATACTAACCCGCTGATTCCCGGGAAGCGTCTCTTCCGCCGCACAAATTGCTATATCAAGAGCGTAGGGGCCGGCAGCCACCACAAGAGTACGATATGCTTACAAACAGGGCTGTGGCATATTCAACCAAACATTATCAGGGTTTCCCTTCTGCGATTCGAGAGCAATCGTGGCCTATCGCAAGGTTCCAGCGGGCTTCGTTGGCAACGGCGAGTGGCTTTGAGGGCTTCCGGCAACTTGCAAGCCGATGGAGGATGCGGTAATGTTGGTTTCAATTCGCCGAGAAAATCATGCGATTGACGCCATCCCTGAGACTGACCACGTCAAATTCCATTCTGCTTTCGATTCTAAGCATAAAGGGTTTTAAACTGAGCTATAATTGAGGCGGTGCGAGTCTGAGCAGCCCTGAGAATGCCAAGGCTGTCCGAATCTAGAGCATTCCCTTATTTTGGATGTCCCAGATTCGGACCATACTTCCCTACCAAATAGTCCAGTTGATACCAGTAGCCTACTTTCAAAATTCTTGACTCGTTTACACCTCCTCTCGATATCTCGACAAGGACGGACTGATATAGGTATCTATAGACCCTGATCTCGTCTCAAGGTCTTGGCTATTTAGGTTTAACTTCACCTCTCGCCGCGGTTTCCTGTGTCAGCTTCGCCAGTAGAAAGTTTCTTTCCTCGATAGTTCCATCATCACATTTCAACGCTTCATTATGCTCTCTCTATTAGGATACACAGGATCTGTTAGTATTGGCCCAGCCTATCAGAAGCCAAAACGTTGGCCCGGATCACGTGACCGTTTCAATATATAGTCGTTTCCGACGTCTAAAGAGCAATGAAGCAAGCTTCAACTCTCCCATTTCTGACATAAAACGGCTGCATTTAAGCGAAGGCTAGGTTGAAGAAGAGAAAATGTTACGGGGTTGGCGCTTAGGGCTCCCGATGGAAGGCCATTTACTGCTGGTATTGACTTCATCTTGTCTATTGCTGCGTCTTCTCTAGAACGCTAAACATTTCGATGGTCTTTTTTTAGTCTTGTTAAGATTTAACTGGTGGTGGGCAGAGTTGGTGCTCAATGCAAGCAAAATGGGTCCGGCGATGGGCCGGCGTCTAACACAGGGCTGGGCGCAACCACCAGAATAGGAACATGTTCGCCCCTAAAATGTGCTGTCCAATCGTTCTAGGAATACAGGGAGAATTCGCTTTGACAGTCTGCTATTTTCGTGGTCAAAGACAGCGTCAGCCTTTTCATGCAACGAAAACCCATCCAGGTGGTATTGTAGGCTGCGACTCTTCTGCGACGCTTTTCCGTGCAGCCTGTTGTACTCTGTACATCGCCGCATCCCAATCGGTATTTAAGTATTCAGCCTGCTGCTTCCAGATCGGCTGCTCTCGTTCAACTTTCATCTCCTCTTTAGCCTCTTGTTCTGCTCCTCGAACTCGGTATTTGAAATCCACTTTAGTCTTTGAACGTTCTCAGTTGATTGACATCAAGCCCATGGAGTCTAGTTTTGGCAGTGGGCGGGCTCCATCTTCGGCTGATGCCGTCGCACAGCGAACTCGAGCATGCCTCAAACTGATGGAATATATGGTTAAGTAAGTACACGGGTCTTTTGGACTTATTACAATCTAATGGACGAGATAGAAAGTCGAAGAAACTCGCGGAGGTCATCCTAATCCTTGGACGGACAGGAGTGGGGAAATCTTCACTCGTGGAGGACCTTACAGATGCTACGGGCTACTCGGAGCAGTCAATCGACTCTGGTAAGAGCATGCATGAGTTTGGGATCAGTCCAACATCCTTAACTATCGCCACAGTCACCCAGAAGTTCCAGATTGCAAAGGCAGATACCGGGCGCAAAGAATACTTCATCATGGACACTCCCGGTTTCGACGCCGACAAGGAAACGGACGCGTTTCTCGAGATCGTCCGCGGCATCCAGGCAGTTCGTCCCTTCGCTAGAATAACTGGAGTGCTATACCTCACCTGCATCAACCAGTCTCGGTTCGATGACTTCGACCGCAAGCTTCTCGCGTTCATCCGCTCTTTGACCGGAGAAGAACACATTGCCCGCATCACTTTTGTAACCACATTCTGGACTGCCGCCGGCGAGAAGCAGAAGGCTACTTTCAACAAGCAGCTCGACTTGTTGCGAAGCAAATGGCAAGGCGCAATGGGCCAGCAGCCAACGTTGTATAAGCACGGGCGAGAGTACAATACCGAAGGAGCGGATACCGGAAGATTCCTCGACTGGTTTGAGAACCGCGGCCGAATTGCTGAGCATGGCAAAAGAATGCTAGCTCGCAATTACGGAAGTACGATTGTGCCGGAGTCTGGAGTCGGCGACTTTAGGATTGTGCAGGAGCTGAACGAAGACACTCCTATTCATCTCACGGACGCAGGAAGACTCCTTAGGCTTCCTCAAGCATCTGCCTCCGTAGACCCTGAGACAAATAGTAAGCGACCTGGGAAAGATCCATCGCCCCTGAACTCCACTCCGGATGGCGACCCTAAGCGGGAACCGGAACCTAGCAAGACGACAGCACCCCAAGCAACTGGCCCATCCCTATTGGACACCATCTTCAATGGCCTTGCTACCATTGTGCGGAATGTGGACTTCAGTGTTAATGTCGGCGGAGCCAATATGGCTCATGCTCCTGGCGCAGCTCAGCCGTTTCGCCCCACAATGCCATATACTGGCCCAGTAGGTGAGTGCTAACGAGTCTTCAGAAACCAGTATTAGACAAATAACATCTAATTAGATCGCCTTTCGGCTGTTGACGTCATGAAGAAGAACGGCTTGGATTCCAGTTTCGCGGGCCGTATGGATTACGCCGCTAGGAACAACATCAATATAGGCAATCCTGGTTCTCGTGAACGGAATGATGCGATTCGAAGGCATGTCGAACGGCGTTTTGGGTAGATCTCCGAGATGGGCGTTAGAGCGCAGACTTAAAGATGTTGTTGTTGCTTTTAACACGGTCGCGGATAGCATTTTTTATATTCAGTTTTTTTTTTCTTCAGGTATTACACTGCAATATGATGAACCAGATTATATTTTAGGACGTGAATCCAACCTTACAAACCGATCCTTAGATACCATCCCGGCCGAGGTTAGAGGTGTTGACATCAAATGAAGTGCTGTAAGATGTTCTTTAACAAATATTGGCTAGGCATCAGAATCATCACAATAGAGCTTTTCTTCGTCAAACGATTTTCATCGCGGGCATGGACGACCTTCCCTAACCTTGGAATCCATGTGAGGAAAGATGGTCGAGGCACGATAGTCCAATAAGGAAAACCAATGCCAGGCACGAGATGTAAACTTTGTCCTCATGTAGCCGTCAGAATTCGGCTGGCCTCTTTCATGCTTGCGACAGGCGGACAACCTCTGGTAGTTTCGTTTGCGAAAAGTTTGACGCAGAGTCGTCGGCATAATGACCATCCGGAATGTTTAGCATTAGCAACAAAGGAGGAGGAGTCGTAGACAACTGTACCGAATTCGGAGGGAAAGGGTGAGGTGAAGGTGAGCGCCCTGAAACAGGTCGTGGTGCGGGGTGATTAGGGTTAAGCTGGAGTTTGAGCTGGATGTTGTTTTGCTTACAACAAGGGGATACGTCGCTCACTGGACGAGGGAGTCAAGGGAGGTCGGTTTTCACCACTGACTAGAGCTGAAACCTTGTGCCAGAATCCCGTATCTGGTCAGCAGTTCCCGACGGAATTCGTGCAGCCAGCAGCATGCAGAACTAGACTAGCGATGCCTATCCCGATTTCTTCTATAGGGGAAAACGAGTGAAAAAGAAAGGGAAAAGCAAGTCCATATTCAAAGTCCTCAATTGTGAGTACAAGTCCAGCCCGTCAACTCTTTGATGCAAATTTGCACAGGCCGAAAAGGCCAGTTTATCGCTCGAGTTAAGCTGGCCGAAAAGGTGTCCGATTATTAACCCGATGAGCTTTTCCAAATCTGCTCTGCTTGTACGTTGGCCACGATAAGCAAGACGGCCACGGTCCTTAGATCAGACGTGAAGCCTCCCTACAACCGTTGGTGCTTATGGATGCGAAAAACAGATACCGCCAGAGTAGTATACAAATATCAATATCGATACCGATACGGAGCCTATGCTGAGACTGTGACACCAAACGCCATTCCCCCCTCCAAGACCACCAAGCACTTTTCTGAACGAAAGAGAACGACAAAACTCCACCAAAATGCATGGATTGACGAGCTAGGCATTGATGTAGAAATCCAGAACGTGTCAACCAAAATGTACCCAGATTCTTAGGTTTGGATACTATCGTGGTCGTGGCGGCTGATGCGTCTTCACGCTCCAGCCCTGCAGACTGCGACGTGTCC